ACACACACGGTCTCAGTCTTTCTCTCCCAAATTTGCAAGGCAAAATTCTTAGATTATTTGCCATTGATAGTAAACAAAAGAATCTGTTTTGTTTCTAGTGGCATAAAAGAGAACAACAGTCCTCCATTTCAGTTTGGATAACTAAGTTGGTTTCTCTTCACTACCTTCTCTCATCCATAGGTTGGCTGATAAATGATGGCCATGATAAATTAATAAAAGACAATCCTCTATGGAAGAAAATGACTTAGGAGATGAGAAGTAGAGTTTCTATCTCCCTAAGTCTGTTCCCAGGAGCAGGCTGAACAAGCTAAACTAGGGTGTAACATTGTAACTGCTTCCCCGGGCCAGACCAAGGTTTCTGTCTGTCCATGTCTCTGTTCCCATAAACAGACTGTATCCGGAGTGGAACACTGTGACTGTCTTCCTAGGCTAGGCCAGATGCCGGTCTTAACCTTACAAAAGAAGACAACCAACTGCCTCTAGGCGCTGATGCCATTTTTCCCCTCAGCCTGGCAGGTCTGCTTGCTGCTTGCTAATAGAATTTTTTCTTCCTTTACCTGGCTAGCATCTCCTTCCTCAGTGACCTTACAAGTAGGAGTTTATGTCAGATTGAAGATCTGGCAATAAGGCACAGTTGGAGGCAAAGTGGTAGAAACAGTAGCCTTGGGTAGAACATGAGAACCTTGGTCTGACCTTCATCATCTACCTCTCTTGTAGCAATATTTTAAAATCCTTTGAACCTTTGCTATATAAGAGTGTGTGTGTGTGCGTGCACATATATCTCTGCATATATATTTTAGGCCATGTTAAATCAAGCATTGTAAACAATTTTTTAGGCCACTATAACTAGTTGTGTGACCTTGGTGAGTAACTTTTTCTTTGCAAGTCCAAGTTTCCCCATTCATAAAATGAGGTTAGACTAGTTAACTTCTAGATTAATTCCAGGAATAAGTCTCTATAACTCAATTTCTTAGAAACTGGTCACAATGTCGGGATTAATCCTTGCCTATACATATGCACTGTCCCCTGCCCCCAGACATATGTGTTTCCACAAAGAATGAAAAGACCACCCTTTCTCTAGCTTGGAAAACAATAGGAAACTTACTTCCTCCCCCACACCCACAAAACAGAGAGAAAGGGCAAGCATATATCTAAATAACAGTCCCTTGTTCTAATTAAATAAACAGCAAACTCAGGCCTCTCAACTCTCGTATCTTTGTACCTTTCTCTTATTTTTTTCTTCTACAGATTTAATAAGGTGTAATTCCAGGAAGCATTTCTCTCCTTGTATGAACAAAAATACAACACTAGCACCACCTATCAGAGCAAACTGCCAAGGCAAAAATGAGCTCCTCATTCGGAATCAGAATGCACATTCTCTTTCCAGCTGTCCCTGAGACAAACTCGAAATAGATATGAGCCAGGCTTCTAAAACTTTTAAGACAAAAAAAGCATATGCCTTATCTTTGATGAAAGTTATTCTTCCAAATCCTCTTCTCTGCTGCCACTACTCTTGGGCCACACCCTTCCAAATCCTGGTTATTTTTAGCTCCACTCTTCCTTCTCCCTGTTGGGGCCATCACTAAATTTAGACTATAGATTTTCAATAACTAAGACCTGCCTTTGCCCTTCTCTTTCCATAACACAATCCAGTCCAAAACCTTATCAGATGATTATTGGTTTACTACAAGAGTTGCCTAGTTCCCTCACTCACCATCATCATCACTGTCACCACCATTATCACCCATTACTGTGCCTTTTGTATGAGCCAGGCCCTGTGGTAAGTTTAACTTTACATACCTTATTTTATCTAAGCCTCAAAACAACCCAAACACATAGGTACCATTATTTCACCCCATTTATAGATGAGGAAACTGAGGCTCATTAAGGTTTAAGTAATTTGCTCAAGGTCACTTACCTAGTAAACAGCTAAGCCAAGACTCAATACAGGCAGGTTATATGCATTCTGACCTGGGGCTTTTAATTACGACAATTTAAAAATAATAATAACCACAACCATACCTACAATAACAATGGCAATTAACATTCACTGAAAACTTCCCTATGTGCTAGGGACCATTACTGTTCTAAATGCTTAAACGTATTAAGGAATTTAATCCTCACAATGATTGGTAGAAACTATTATTGCCTTCATTCCCCAGATGAGGAAACTAAGGCACAAAAAAGTTTAAGGGACTTGCCTAAGGTAACATAGCCAGACAATAGAGGAGCCAGTGTTCAAACTTAGGCAGACCCTACATATTTGTCAAAACTCACTTAAAAACGGTGAATTTTGTTACATGTAAATGACATGTTAATAGCCTGATTTTAAAATAATTACTGTCCTTCACTATCCCCTTCCTTAACTTCAAGACCTAAAGCTTACAGGAACTCTTTCTTGAATAAGTCTAATCCTCAGCCATGCTTTTGCCATTTTCCTGCTTTCTGAAGGTCATCAATTCTTTGTGATGTCAACTTACTTCTATTACGTACAACTAATTGTTGCCAGTGCCATGATTAAGACTTTCAGAGCCAAGGGTGTATTTCCTCAGATCTTAATTCTAGGCATATATTTAATCACGGGAAGTCGACAAAGCTAGTCTTCACACCCTGTCACACCAATACAGTAAAGCTAAAACCACCCACCACATAGAAATATTTCTTTCCCTTGCCAATCTCAGTAACAAAGCAATAACTGGTAAATAGAAATAAATGTTACAATCTGAGACTTGGGAGTGTATTTCTACAACATGCATTTGCAAAACTTATAAGCAAAATAGGTCCCCCAAACTGCTCTCATTTTAGAAACATTCGTACTCTTTTTGTGTTACTGCTGGGCCAGCAATCTAGGGTAAATCCTAGCTTGGGCAGGGATGTTCTGGCCCCGTAAATAATCCAACAAAGATCCATACAGCACACAGCTTTTCAGGATGTTTCTTTATTAAACAAATTTCTAGGAATAAAATAAAATAGTCCCTTGCTTAGCATACCCCTGCACTCAGAAGGCAGTGATTTAATAATGTAACAATTTAATTATCAGGCTACAGATGCTTTGAATGGCTAAGTAGGTCATTGTGTTCACAGGGCAGATGTCAGAACTGCTTGCCACATGACAAAAGGTATAACCCTGGGCTGTTTTTATTCCATATATACAAGACCTAACTCACACATTAGAACCTCTACTGTTTACAGTTTTACTCTAAGGATCTATTAGGAGGCCTAAGAAATTCTCTTGTGTCATTTACACCTTCAGAAATTAAAATAACCTGCACATATGGTAATACGAGCCTGACAGACACAGTCCTGCACCCGGCCAGGCAAAGTGGCTGTAAAACAGTGTCTATGTTTTAGTGGTATTTGGTGCCTGCTACATTCCTACACTTGTGATATAGCAGCGTGAACCTATGTGTATCAGGACCCTGCAACCCTTCTCCTGCTTATAGAACCCCAGAACTAGCTGTCGCTTAACGTGCAGGGGTTTTGAGATTATGTCCCTTGTCCTACCTGAACAGATGTTCCCACTCCATCAGATCATCCCCAAATCCCACTGACCAAACACTCTCCCTCCCCTAAGATTGGCTGTGCTCTCCACAACTTCTCCTGTACGCCCCAGCCCCCCCCACCCGCCTTCTACCTCTATCTCTCTCATCACCTCTGCAGACTTCCCTATGATGTCCCTACACACTCCGTAACCGTTTCCAGGTCCCACCACCCCTCCAGATCCCCAATCGCTCCTGCAGATCCTCTCTGCAAGCTCATCACCTCTGTAGACACTTTCACAGACCCCGGTTACCTTTGCAGACCTTCCCCCACGGTTCCTTATTACTAATACAGCCTTACCACTCTCCCCTGCTGCTCATGCAGACCCTTCATTATTCGAGGCGACCCTCCCCACGCCCCCATAAAATCCCACATTACTGCTGCAGATGCTCCCCACGGTCACAGACTGTCCCTGCAAGCCTTCACGAAGACCCTCCCCCACATACGTGCAGACTTTGCAGACGCCCCCTGGCAGCCGCCTTCCGGACGGTCCCTCTTTCCCGCCCCGGCCTGCAGGACTCACAGGGCATTCGCGTGAGCACGTTGC